GTGACTCCCGGGACCCCAGAATATTGTGGACTCCGGAGAGGGTCCCAGGAAAGACAGGGTTCTGTCACAGCTGGAGACCTGAGCTTGTGCCCACATGCAGGGCAGTTTTATGTGCCACTAGGCAGCTGACTCTGCTCCTGTCCAGCTGGCTGGGGAGGGACAGAGCTTCTTTCCTCAGGACGCTTGTCAGCTCAGCCTCTCAGGTCAGCCATCCTGTAGTGAGGCCCACGGAGCCAGGAGGTGCCACGCCCTGCCGTAGTCACAGCTCAGTGGTTTTGACGGGGTGTCCATACGGAAGCACAGTAGTGCCAGACTTGTTTTTGGCAGCACTGTGGTTTGTACCAGCCCTGGCCTGGTCAGGCCCACACAGGTGACATGACATAAAGAGGGACAGACAGCCCCTGTCCCCGGTGCACAGGGCTCTAGGGGCACAGACTGCCTGCTTGTTCAGGGGTCGACGTGGCCTGAACCCACAGCCAGCTCAGTGGCAGCCACGCCTGCCTGGCTGTCCAGTGGCCAGTCAGGGGAGGGACTGAAGGTTCCTCTCTTGTGGCTGGTCTGGTTTTGATTGTTTGTTTGGCACTATTGGGATTTGAGCCCAGACTTGTATAGGTGCTTTGCTGCTAGGGTATGCTTTCAGCCCTTTTTGTACTTATTAAACTTTTTTGTTGTTGGTGGTGGTCATGGGGCTTGAACTCTGGTCCTGAGCCCTGTCCCTCAGCTCTTCAGCTCAAGGCTAGCACTCTACCACTTGAGCCACAGCGCTACTTCCAGTTTTCTGGTGGTTTATTTATTTATTTAATTTTTTTGGTCAGCCGTGGGGCTTGAACTCTGGGCCTGGGCGCTGTCCCTCAGCTCTTCAGCTCAAGGTGAGCGCTCTACCACTTGAGCTACAGCGCCACTTCCGTTTTTTTTTTTTTTTTCTGGTGGTTTATTGGAGATAGGAGTCCCACGGTCTCTCTTGCCCGGGCTGGCTTTGAACCGTGATCCTCAGATCTCAGCCTCCTGAGTAGCTAGGATTACAGG